AAAAAAAAATCAAGAAAGAAATAAATGTGTAAATATATAAACACCAAAAAAAAAGATATTTGATGCAAGATACATTTCTTTCCTCGATTAAAAAAATGCTGCTCTTATGGAGAATCTGCGCGGCTGAACGTACCACCAATCACCGATCTCTCCACATGCAATGCAGGACGCCGACTGCTCACAGGCTTCCAAGCGGGGCACCTTCCCCACCCTCCCTTTCTAAACGGTCCCTCCTCAGTTACGCTGAACTCACTGCCGCCTAAGCGTCCTCCTCAGTCTGACACATTTCTTTGAAACTGGCCTTGGCCTTTTGGGTGCGTTCATGCCTGGTGGTCCTGGGTCCATCCAGCGGCTCCTCCCCACAGCCGTGTTCTCCCTGCCGCCCTCGTGGAAAGCCCTGACCTCCCAGTCATCACTACAATCCGAAATTCTCCTTTCCCCCTGGGCCGTGCGGGCAGGCTGATTCTGCCCATCTAGTGAACGTCAGGTTAAGTCTTGTCATGTCCCTTCATAAACCCTCCATCACTGTCCTTTGGATCACAAAGCAGAAGGGCTCCAACTATTCGTGACCTGATCTCAGAGGATGGGAGTCCTCATTGCAACCAGAGCGACTTGGAGACCCCAACTTCCACAGCCTCCCCAAAGTACCTAGTCCATGATGCCTTCCTCCCTCCTCGCTCCTCATCTGGGGACAGACGGGGCGTGCTTGCCAGGGGCCACCACGTGTTTCCGTTGGTGGATTCAAACTGGGGTCTTGTCCATCTTTGGTCGTCCGTCGGTGGTGGTAGTGAGGCGGTGTGGTGTGGGTGAGCGTTACAGAGCAAGTTCGTTTTGCCGTCAATGATTTAGACACATGTTGTCATATTGTCACACACACCACCCAAGGTCACAGCCTTGTTTCTGCTTCAGCTTTCATTTCCATCCGTCCTTCCTCTGCCCCTTCCTGCCTCAGGGGCTTTGTTTTGGGGGCGAGAGCTGCTCAGTGGGCCTCCGCTGGTTAACTGTTCTGAGGACGTTTCTCACACGTGTTGCTGTTGATGTTACTGCTGTGTCGGCTCGCTGGTTGCCAGGGGGCCCTGGGGTGTATGGGGCTTCATCTCTAGGCTTGAAAGCAATCGAAGGGCCCACTATCTCTGGGGTTCCACCATCAGACCAGTAAGGCTGGTCTTTAAAAAATAATAATTTCAAATTTTGCTCTGCACTCTCCACCTGTTCCCTGCAGGACCTTCTGTGGTCCCAAGTAGAGCAGTAGGTGGTGGTAGCTGGGTCCAGAGAGACCCTTTTAAGCCTGAAGCCAAAATCCTCTCTGGAGGTCACTGTGTTAGTCTGGGTAGACTAGAGAAAGAAATCCAGGAAAATCATTGATGGATGTAAGAGGGAGCTTTACATCAAAGAGTAATTGCATATTGAGAAAACATCCCAGCCCAATCCAGATCAAGTCCGTAAGTCCATTATTTGCCCATATGTCCCGATACCAGTCTATGAATTCCTCTTCAGACTCATGCAACACACGCAATGATGCCAAATGCAGCAAGATCACAGGCCAGTGGGTGGAATGTCTTGTGGATCTTGTGGATCCAGTGGAAGCATCGTAGCGCTGGCGTGGGTCTCCACATGGCTCCTGCACCTCCAGGACTCTGTCTCCATCAGCGTAGCTCCATGTGCCTTGTCAGCAGGAAGACGCAGCAGAGAGTGAATATGCCTGGCCTCCAGTGAGCTATTCATCTCCATGGCACCTCCAAATGAGGTCATCAAGCTGCGACCTGATTGTCAGGTTAAACTCCACCCCTCCACTCTTAATAGTCTCAAGTTGACACCAGATTATGTAACTACCACAGTCACCTTTGAGCAAGACCACGGACTGGCTCCTAAAAAAAATAATATCATGCTTGAGTCAATAGCACCTTCCAAAAAAAAATCCCTGATTTACCTGGATGGAACCAGTTATTAACCTGATCTACTGGCCCTAGGCACGGAGGAGGGAAGGTCCCAAATCTGGAACCTTCTGTAAGTGTCTTGGTGCTTCTGGGTGCAGCAGTATATCACAACGCTTTGAGGCCTTAAGGAAAGGGTTAAGGTGACTAGCTCACACATTGTAGGGCAAACGTCTATGACATTAAGGTCCAAGGGCAGGACTGGTCCTGTACACCAGAAAGGTACGGGGCTCAGCAGGAACTCAGAAGAAGAGGGCCAGTAAACGGCTCTGAGTGAGTGGAGGTATCTGAACGGTCTCAAGACTAAAATACGATCTAAGCAGCAAACAAACACCCCGGTGCACCCGAACGGTCACAAGTTGCTCCAGACCCAGGAGCAGGAGGTGAGGGGCAGGGGAATGGGCACGGAATGCAAGGACCGGGATGGAATGAGTGAGGCCGGGGACACGCTAGGAGAAGCGTAAGCAGTATCCTTGAACATCTGTGTGGAGATGGTTATACGCAAACTTTCACCCGAAACACGATACACTACAGGATGTGTATAGAAGGATGTTCCTGGGGCCAGTTCTACACTGGGCACCCAACGACACCTGTCACCCCCAGAGGCTGCACCAGACCTCTTGAAAGTGTTGAGGAGCAAAGGTGTCACTTTGAGGACGAAGGTCAGTCTGACCAGAGTCATGGTGTTTTCAATCGCCTCATCCAAAAAATGCACTGCCAATTCCCGCTCACAGTGACCCCGTAGGACAGTTGAACTGCTCCCGTGGGTTTCCGAACCTGGAACTCTCTATGAGAGAAGAAAGCAAGCCTCCTCTTTCTCCCTCGGAGCAGCTGGTGGTTTGGAACTGCTGATGCAGTCAGCAGCCCAGTGCTGACCCACGACGCCACCAGGGTTCCTAAATTGTCTCGTCGACATGTGACAATCGGAAGTTGGATGGGGCAGGCCGAGAGGCACCGGTGCACCTGAATTTCGGTGCTGGCGAGGAAGACGGTAGGTGTCACGGACTGCCAGAGGACAAACAGGTCTGTCCTGGAAGACGAGTCTGCCTCACATACTTTGGACACGTGTTCAGGAGAGACAAGTGCCGGAGAAGGACATTGTGTCTAGGCAAGTGGAGGGGCAGTGGGAAAGAGGCAGACCCGAGCGAGATGGACTGCCGCAGTGGTTGCAACAATGGGCTCGAACATAACCACTGCAGTGGCGAGGATGACCCAGGACCCCCGGGCGGGCAGGGTTCCCTCTGTTGAACCCAGGGTCGCCGAATCGACTGGACACCACCTAACAACAACGCAGAAGGCCACACGGTGGCGCCCACAGGCCGGCTCCCTTCGCCTGCTTGGGCATCACTGTCCGTGGGAATCCTGTAACGTTACAGGGAGCAACAGGGGCAGCTCTGGGGCCCTTTGGGAAGATTTCAGGTTGATTTCATGCTGATGGAGACAGGCTAAGGAATGGAACACCATTCGGCCCTCCTGCGGACTGCCTCAGGACAGACAGATAGACAGACCCGTGTCCGTGTACAAAGGGCACCAGAAAGGCTCTCTGTCCAGGCTTCGTGACCTTTTGCACTGATCATGGAGGGACCCGGGCCTTTCAGGGCCGCCTGGGAAGAAAGTCTGGGACAGCGGTGAAATGAACTGAAAGTGATCTTGGGTAGCAAGGTTCCCCTGCAGACAGTGGGGCCTGGCTCGTGAGTGCCGGTGGGGATGGCGGACATGCTGGAAACAACTTCGTCCCTACTCTGGAGGGTGGGGTGGGGGGTGGCGTGGGCTGTCTGGCCTGGAGCAACGCCCATGGAAGGCCATTTGTCACGAGCTAGCGGAGTTACAAATACGCATTCCGGTGCCCCGGGATTCCTAGGAGAGTCTGTGTGCCCGCACTAGCATTAGGTTGGAGCGCTGTTGGTGGTGAGATCGGAGAAGCGCCCGAAGTGCCCTCCCCGGGGCTGTGTGAACCTGAGAGGGCAATGATGAGCACCCATCTTGGGGGAGACTGTCTGGGGGAGCCCTGGCGGTGCCAGTCGGCGAGAAGGCTGGCGTTCCAGTGGCCTGGTGGCCCCAGGGGAGAACTACATGGAGGCATTCCTCCTCCATCCTACAAGCTTGCTCTGAGCGGGGACAGACCCAGTGGCCAGGGACATGCATTTGTGAGAAGGAAGGAGGCGTGGGGGGCGCCCACCTGAGACCCTCGCTCGGGCCTCCCCACGTGCTCACCGCCTGAGAAGTCTTCCATCCATCCGTGATGGCCTGCTCCAGCTCTTCCCAAGTGACCATGGTGACATCCTCTCCAACGGGAATGACGCTCAGCTTCCGGCCCACTATGTTCTGACGGCACACACACACCCCTAGTTGAGTTCTGGGAAGCTGGGGCTCTCGGGACTAGCCGGGGACTTCCCTCCCCTCAGAGAGACTTCATTGTTCTTTGTGGGAAACAGAAGGGTTTCTCTCAAGTTGTCCCCCCCAAATATAGGCCAGACTTAGCTGCTTGAGAATGACTGTCCACTTGGAGGTCATCAGGAGTGGATTGGGGGGTCATTCTCCCTGAGAATTATCAGCTGTCTAGACCAAGCAGACACCACTGTTTATCCCACAACAAGTAGGGCCCACTCCCTTCTGATAAGGATAGTAGTTG